AGCCTGGACACACTGGACCCTGAAGGCAGCACGCGCACACACACACACACACACACACACACACACAGTAACTTACTTTACGTTATCAACTATACACTTCAAATACGTGATTATATATCAGTTATTACTGAGGCAGACAGGATATCACGCATTTTATCTAAAGCGGGTGGTCCAATATTCATATGATGGTCATTATCTAGGTTTCCATGCAGCTCGAGCATGGAAATCGTTTTTCTCCCATCCATTGTCACAGAATCTATTGACAGCTGTGGTTAGCCTGCTGCTAACTAGCTAACTGGCTTCGCGAGATGGTAAATCATTGGTTATTGTAATTATTATCAGTTAATGGTAGGTAATTTTTCGATATTTCACATGATACGTATACATATCGTAGACATACCTATTTCCAGTGTACAATGGCTTACATCCACCTGCAGAGGTGGGGCTTGATTCACAGCAGCCGCTGCTAAATGAAGTTTTTCAATTTCCTTGTTCCTGTAGGAACGTTTCTGTGGCGGACCGACTTCCGGTCAATCAATTGGAATAAAATAAAAGTAAAACTGAATTTAATCCCATACAAAAAAGGCTTGCATAAAAAAGATGAAAAAATAATAAGGAATACAGTTTCTTATTCCAACTTTTAAAAAAACGAATTCATCCATCCATCGTCAACCGCTTATCCTGCGTACAGGGTCGCGGGGGGCTGGAGTCAATCCCAGTTTACATCGGGCGAACAGACTGGACAGGTCAAAAGTCCATCGCAGGGCAAAATGAATTCATTTGAATCACATAACGAATCAGCACTTCATTTTTCTATTAAGATATTGATTTATTTTTTGAGGAAAAGAGACTACGGAAAGATTTTACTCATATTTTTTGAAGAAAGATTTTATTATAACAGTTTTGAATGTTCTACCTCAGATTTGTGAAGTGATGCACTGTTTGGCATCAAGTGTTTGTTCGGGCCATAAAAAAAAGTTTAAAGCCAGAAATAGCCATCTGGTTTCTTCAACTTTTTACCCAGTAGCAACAATCAGCCTTTAAACTTAAAAGCAATGATATGACATTTATCCTGATAATTATAGATATCCAATGCTGTGAACATTTTTATCGTGATAACACTTTTGGCCATATCGCCCAGTCATTTACAGTTATATTATTCTTTCCCTATTAAAAATTGTGTTAAACCATTTGTTTTCTGTGTATTAAAGGCCAAATCAGTGCAAAAATAACAGAAACATCCACAATTTGACATTTTCAGTTACAAAGGTCAAGTCAGCATTTTGTGTTTCTAAAAGACATTTTAGGTTGTGTAAATATCCCTGTTTTATCCCTGTTTAACAATGCTGACATTTCACAGCATCTAAAACATGAAGACTCTTTTGATAACAAATAAGATTAAGCATTGCACATTTAAATACTTGAATGAATTATGCAATCACTCAAAAATGAACAACACACGATGTAGGGTTGACATTTTTAATGTTGGCTTCACCACTTGTATAATTGTCATGAATACATAAAAAAAAAGAAAGAAAAAACATTCACTCAAAGATTCTCACATCAATCCTTTCCATTAAGTCCAATAATACTGGTCTGCAACCAAAACCAATTCACCCTCCTCCTTGCATCACTCTCCAGAGAGCACAGAAACTTCTTGGAGATGTTGTCGCACCACCTCATCCAGCACCTTGCTCACTCCTTTACAAGCCGTCATGGCAGCTTCGATCAGAGCCTCTAAGTGGTCCTGATGCAGTCTGGCATCCATCTGCAGCAGAGCGATCTGTCCGCCCCGGGGGAGCAGTGCTAAGGCCAGAGAGCTCACACCTCCACTTTCCTCTGCATAGCAAAGATCAGCGAGGGGCGTCTCGTCCACAAACCCGACCGTGCTGGCACACACATAGTCCCGCATAGGGATGCCAGCGTCAATCACCGCCAGAGTGGCTGCATTTACACACACGCTGTAGTTCCCTCCATCTGACTGCAGAATCTGTTTAGAAAGGGACGTTTAGAATTTTAGTTTAAATTTTTCTCATGATGATGATCACTATAAACACACATCACATCCACCTCTCACTGTTCCACACTGACCTTGACATAGATGTCTATTTGAGAGCGTGGGTAGAGCTGGGTCATCACAGCGGCTTCAAACGTCTGCTTCAGGTGGAGGCTCATCTCAGTAGACTTGCGGTCCCCATGAGGTCTCCTCTTCCTCTCTGCTGTGCTGAACGTGGCCATGCTGTACTGACAGTTGATAATGGCTCGGTCATGACGAGTCCGGCTGCGTGAACCTCGCATCTACGGGTGACAATCAATCAATCAATATTTTATTTGCTGCTCCTAAATAACATCACCAAGAGATAAGTGGCTGTTAATTCAGTATATGATCATTTGTCACCTTTATTTGAAGCGTAAAATTTCTAGAATTTTTCAACATGCACAAATGATTTCAAGCTAATTCTAATTACAAACGGGAGCACAGTTCATTGCATTGACTATCAATTTGAGAAATGTGATTGTGCCTACATTTGGCACACCCTGACATACACTCAGTGGCCACTTTATTAGGTACACATGTAAACATCTAATGCAATGCGACAGCTAGAGAGAGATATCAGAAACACACCACCACCAACTATGACCTCAGTAATAAACGTAAAGTATATTTGAATGAACACCCCTCAAAAGAAAATTCCCATTAAAAGCTTTCTAAAGGAACATTACGTTCTCGCTATCAAAAATATGTGTATTAATAGTGTGATCTTGACTATCCAGTCATGGATATAATTACTATGTATAATACTATATCTATTTAGCTGTTGGTTACACAAATAAGCAGTCAGACTTATGTAGGTAACTTATGATGGGCATTATTTGACAAAAACCTTAATCCACTATTCAAGTATTACTGACCTAAACACTTACACTAGATTATGTTTTCATCCTGATTAACCTTTAATCTTAAACGTATTCTCTGATTCAGCATTATTGGAAGTGTATTTCGTGTTTGCTGTTCTTGGACTGTGCAAGACAACATCAATAACCTGCTATTACTTTGAATGACACTTCCTCTGGAGTGCTTGCTCCGCTGGATGAACAGTGGTGCACAGAGTGACACGCATTTACCATTTACCCACTTAGGGTTGATGAACACCGTCCTGTTTTACAGTTATTAATTATAAATACTTCCTGCAGCGCTGACCACCGAATAACCCATGCATGTTTTCACCAGCCTTCGCCCCTACTTACTTCATGTGGACCGTACACCACTGCCAGAGCTTTCGTGTTTCCCTGCTCCAAATACGCGGAGCCGTCGGCCTGAGCGAACACACCCATACGGGCCTGGACTTTCCGCAGCTCGGTGGCCTTTCTTCCATCTAAACGGTATCCCTGGTCGGACAGAAGCTCCAGGCCCGCCATGCTTCCGCAAACTTCAACCGTACAGCGACGCAAAGCCCCACGTGTCTTCCGGTGTACTACATTACCCAAACACCCACTCACTGGAAAGACTACGGCAAGATGAAAGGCCCAAATATATCCCAAGTTTGGATTATTTAAAATAGTAATAGTAAAATAGGCAAATGCGGTTTTGCCATCTTTGCAAAAAAAAACCCCAAAACATTTCACTATGTATGTATGTGACAAAGTCAGAGTACAAAAAGTGGCCTTTGCAAGTATTGCGCTTATAGTTATAATTCAGTATAATAACTATGTATATAATACCTAACTTGTTTCTCTGCATAAAATTAGTGAAGTATTTTGGTAATCGTTCATTAGATGAAATAATGTTTTACTCATTTATTAAATAAAAAACGGCTCTTATTCTTTTTAATAATCTTTTTTTATTAATTAATTATAGTCTCTCATGCCTTTGACATTTTCATTTTGTAATTTAGAATTCTACGCTCAATTAATCGGACAATATCTGCCTGCACTCACTAGGCCGATAAACACAAAAAAATGTCTATTCTGCTGATACATCTGCAGGCAGCTGTGTCAGTGTGTATGCTGTGGAACAATGCTAGCGCTCCTTCTTATGAGTCACCATTGTCTTTTCTAACAGTTAATGTGCTTCTCCCATCCTAAATGACAGTAAATCTAATCTAAAACCAATACTGCCCAGCGTTAAATATATATATTTTATACTGTAGAGAATAATGCAGTTGAATAAGGTCACTTCTAACAAACTGTGTCCCACTCTCCCTTAAACACAAGTCACGCTCTGAAATCTACAGTATAACCCAATGTATTTTTCTATTTCATTAATTAATAAAATTCCATCTAACACAACACATTACTAGCTAAGATAACCATGTATATTAGATTGTACTCTTCTAATATCTCTATCTACATTACATCGGTCATTGAAAAACTCTATTGGTTAACCACTAGTACTAGTACATTTTCTTGAAAAGAAATGAAAAGGGGTGAATCCTCATATAATTGGCAACTATATTTTTAAAAAATTACTGTATTCACCTACTTTTTGGTAATTGCTGTAGATTGGTTCTGATAATAAACAATAAAAAAATATTGTTAAAAATTTTACTTTGCATTTCATGAGGGAGTGTTCCCGAGTACCTACTCAAGGGCCACTGGATATATCAAAATGGAACAAAAATACTCAATTATAAATACAGCTGTTTTCACACTGTTTTCTTCATGTCCAGGTTCCAAAATACACTCTGCACTGTCTATATTTGCAGGGACGCAAGTGAAAAGTTTGTATTTGCACTCCTTTGCTGACTCCCAAGGACTCAAAAGTAAACAGTTATTGCTCTGGGTGGCCCCTGGAAATGTGTCAAGGACCCCCCACACATTAGGATCCACTACCCTGCAACAAGGAACTCAAACCCTGTGTCTTTATTACACTTATCACCTGCTTTGGACTGCTATGGAGGTTAAATTCTGACCCGGCGATACAATTTCTATGTAGGTGTGCTAGTGAACAGAATGGCACAACAGTCGGTCTCACAATGCACAGAGTTACACAACTTCAACACTTTTAAAAATAAAATTTATTAGCATCTCTAATGTGTATAAATAAAAACATATATGAAACAATGTATATACGTATGATGTAATGAGTTTAACAATAACAGGATTACATGTGGTACAAAGGAGCAGTCTTTATTTTAGCCAGTGTATGTGAGGAAAACTGTACCTTCAAATCAAGCTTTCAAATATGCATACCTATAAGTTGCAAATCTACATTCTTGGATAAGAATGAAACAAAAAAAATCAGTTTAGGGGGTGGTAACAGGGAGAATACCGTAAATATGCAGTTTTGCTTTCCTGTTTCTCAAGATTTCATAACATCTTTTGATTTAATACATAATAAATTCTGTACTTTTTTTTTTTTTTTTTTAAAGGTTTCACTAACAATGTTGAGGTACTCCAACACTAGTCACACTGACCTTCTCAACTTAACATTACACTTGATAAAAATCCTAAAAAGGATTTCACCTCATTATTCTCCTTTTACTGAGGTCACATTGTTCCACAGACTCATAAGAAAGGGTCTTTATAAGCAGACCTGAAATCTAGGGACAATATGACTATAATGTTAGACAAAAATAGAAAGATACCAAATGACAAATTTTACATGTAACTAACAGATCCAAAAAGGATCAAACAAACAACTCAATTTGCATTTTACTAATGTCACAAGGTTTGTCTTTTTCTGCGATGGCTTGCTGTGCCTGGGTCAGAACACCGAGAAGACAGTGAATGGATGCTTCTGTGAGGGGGTCCTAGGGTTTGGCTCTCTAGGCAAAAAGCAAAGAAAGGAAAGGACCTCTCTTCTTGTGTCACCCAGCATTTTCTATTTGGTCATTCTTTCAACACTGAGCGTGTTCAAATGTCTTACAAAATTGACAGTTATGCACATATGACGAATGCTACCTCTGGAAGCTGGCCAGATTTTATTTTTTTTTTTTTTTTACAATAGCCAATGTGATGTGGACTTGTAACAGACCATTAAATATACACCGCTGACGACAGGGAATAGTCTACAACCCACACAACAGTGTGTCAAACTGCCATAGACAAGTCAGTTACAATATGTGGACTATTACTGGCCATTGTCTCAGTTTCTCCTTGTAAATTGAAAAATATCACATTTAAAAAGGGGATCACAACATCCAAGACTAACTGCTTCAAAGTAAAAAAACAAACAAAAAAAAAAAACCAGTGGGTAGGTACAAAAAAAGAACATAAAAAGAAAAAGTGGTGTGTCTGCTTTATACGCAGGTGTACATGACAGTGAGAGGTTATCGGCACCCAAGGATCATGGCGACCTCATTCAGCCTTATGGAATGAAGGGACTATGTAGTAGATCTGAAAAACGGTCTCTGCTCCATCCCAAGTCTTTAGAAGAGTGCAAAGATCCTCTTATTTCCCTGATATATTCATGTTCTCGCATCCTAAAACTCTGCAAACTCCTTTGCGCATTTTTCCGTTAAAGAAACACGGATTTCCTCCTCCTCATAGTCGTCGAAGTTGCTGGTGTCCCCTGGGCCTCTGCACTTTGGTATGAACGGGGCTTCCACCTGCAAGAACAAGGGCCAAACATATTTTAACAGGCAGGATTTATATATATTTATGTCTACACTGCCAGGCACAAGAACACCCGTGAGAGAGAAAGAGAATGTTATTATTTCTGAGGAAGGACAGACTGTCTTTCAGCAATGTACCTTATACTGTCAAAAAGGCGTCTAGAAACGGGCAAGAACGACTGATGCTAAAATAATTGATTTAAAGGGAGTGCCTGACTTATGGTCAGTGTGGAACCCCCTGCCTCCACACCTTCCCAATGTCTGATTAGGGGACTGGGTCCATCAAGTTTAGTAACTTTCAAAAACCCGAAAATAAGACCTACTTTATAAGTAACTTTATAAGTCTCTCAAGCTTTCTTTTCATTCACCCAACCACGATCATCATGTTTCATGTGTACCGAAATGCACAAAAGTGGGCCCCTTAAAATGTATACTATGCAATTCTAATCCAAAAGACTTTTTTTGTTAAATTAAGTGAACATTTAATCACATTTTGCTAGCTCTTAAAAAAAAAAAAAAAAAAAATCAGGTTTTCCTACTCAGGCCTTGCTCAGTAAATAGAACACAAACAAAAGTATCTTGTGTTTTATCACGTGCTTTCTGTATTTTATTTCAATGTATTTTATAACAAAAGTATCTTGTGTTGTATTCCAATGTATTTTTGTAAAGTGTATTTGTGATTTAGAGTCTCTTGGTGATTTTGTACTTTAAATAAAACTTGATTGATTGAGTGAAGAAGGAGAGATGGCTGAGAAATAGCCAAAGAGGGAAAGGTCTGAAGAGTACGAATTGCTAAACAAGTAACATGACCAGGCAAGGGCGTGTTAGCATCGGTGAGGTATTTCTATGCTGGATAAACCTCGGATTTGAAAGGAATGAAAACCGACGCTGTTTCTGCTGTACAGGCGAGTAACGTTAGCTTTGCTTTTTGTCACACTTTCCACAGTATTGCAAAATACATGCCACCTTATTGAGGCCAGCAGACTGTGGATTCTGCTGTATTTCAGCAAAATTAAGGGTCGGAGCTTTGGGGAGAGCACTAACGGGGTGTGTGTGTTTGTTTGGTTGACTTTGGTTGAGTTTAACTCTACAGAATCGCATAGTATCTCTTTAATCCCCATTTTAATAGTTATCATTTCTTCCCCCTCTCTTTGACAGCGGGCGTTTCATCGCACATTTAAGCATTGCACTTCGAAAAAGATAAACACTTCTACCTTTATACATGGTCGGATGACACTTTGTTCAAACTACTTCATCTCAAGCACACCTGAGGCCTGAAAGGTACCTAATGTCATGGATTTAGATTTGCATATACCTGTAAAATATGACTTGAAGGAGCTTTTGTTTTTCACACTTTGATGACTGAGATCACAAATAGATCATTCCCACTGTTCTTGCCAGTTGTTCATCCACAAGTTAAAGTTGAACTTTTTGCAGATCATTACCAATAACACATTTCTATAGTCACTTAAACCTATTCCTAGTTAAAATGTTGCGATTGCTTAACATTTAACAACTTAAAAACCTGTAACTAGCAGAGTATGACACACCATACGGGCCTCTCTGCTGTGATTCTATTTTCAATTAAATGCTACAACACTCCATTTACATATAGCATCTAAGTTCCCGAAGAATTTTCTCAATGTTTGAGAAAACATGCAGTGTGTTTGGCTGTTAGAGAAACAAGACAAAAGAATATGTAATGACAATAGAAAATTGGTCTAAAATTGCTTATTGTAATAAAACTCCAGTCTGACATTGTCATACAGTTTTTTCACTGAATCGAAGCTCTAAAGAATTTAATTTTTTTTCCCTGAATGCGTGTAAAATCTAACTAAATAGATCTGCTTCTATACTATGTCTACATCACAGAATCCCACTACATGTTGTCATGTGGAAAACACTAAACTGTGGAAGAACATGAATACTAAATCAAAATGGTGCTGAAAATAACAAATCACAATAGGTAGGGTCAGATTTGCAGATGCATTTGACGAGAGTCAGAAAGCTTATAAAACCATTGTGTGATTGTATAATAATAAGATTACACAGAATCAACAGATCAATGACATTCAAGCCTGAGCTAAATATCTACTTTGATTAATCGAAGAGCTCCATTATCAGTGTCATCCTGCAAAATGGCATGTGGCACTGAGAGCTCACAGCCAACAGTGGAGCTGGATGATTTCCAAAAACCAAAACACTCTGACTGACCAGTTGTGATCTGCAAATATTGAACATCACACAGGAAATATGAAAACAGATATCATCAACCGTCCTCAGATAATTTCTATCTAAAATAGTATAGAATAATAATGTTGGGGCATCAAAACTGAGAAATTTACAACTAGCAAAAAAATAATCTATATCAACAAATCAATATCTAATTAACTTGATTTTTATGGGCCTAACAGTGTTTGGTGTCACTACAAAATGTGTATGGCGTCTTGCCTTTCTCTCGTAGATTGCGATCCAGTCTGTTGTGGCAAACCATTTGTGGCCCTTTATGTCATTGACTCCGTTCTTCAGGTTGCCATAACGTTTGGTCAGATCCACCTGCAGCAGGTTTCTCAACAGATCCTTCAAGTCGGAGCTGAAGTGGGAGGGGAATCGTACCTAGAAAGGAGAAGAAATGAGTTTGTAGAATTTCTTTCTACCAGTTCAAATGTCGTTTTGTACATCTAAGTTATTCTTCTTATAGGAAGCGCATTTTCAATTTCAATGACTTTTTAATTCTTTCATGTAGAAATATCTAAAAACAAACCCCAGCTTACCTTCCCAGACACGATCTTCTCATAGATCTGAATAGGTTGATCTGCAAAGAATGGAGGGTAGCCAGCTGCCATTTCATAGATGAGGACTCCGAGGGCCCACCAGTCTACAGCTTTGTTATAGCCCTAAAAAAAAAAAAAGAGTCAAGAAAGACACTGCTGTCACTGAGAGGACAAAAAAAACAAACTTCTACTACTCATAGAATTCAGAAGTCATCTTCCTGCTTCTAATGTATGAAAAGACCAACTGGACTAAATACTAACATTTAGCAAGGGAGCTTTTAAAATGCTTATCACCAGTAATCTTACTACAAAGCACAGTAGGGAACGTTTGAGTGGCATTTCTACGTAAATGTCTTCATACAACCCGTGTTAAAATGAAAAATCCACCCTTCCATAGTCTGAGATTGAATATATTTATAATACAGTGGTCTGTTCTAATTTACTTTCTTGTAACCCACTTTTCCGCTTTCCTCAACATGACTCTCTAACTATCTATTTTGGCTAGTGATTTCCTATATTTTCCAGGATCCAGTTTTACATGCCATAGAGAAAGCTGTTGCAAAGGGGAGTTTTTCCCATTTGATAAAAAGTAAGATTTGCGGGGGTTTTTTGTTGCTGAATTTAAAAAAATACTTGGCATCCCTTCTTCTTGTGGAGTGGATTTTGTCCTGTATGACTGTTCAGAGGGCACAGTAGCAAGTCTGATTTAAGGACACTTGAATTAGCTTGATATGTTTTCTGCTTTAAATGTCCTTTCAAGCTGTGCAGGAAAACCTCAACATGACTAAACATAAACCGTTTTTAACCAGTGATCTACTAGAGGAGCATAAATTACACAACCAAACAACAACCTACTCCAAAAAAAAATGAAAATCACAAAGCAAAAAGAAAAGTGTGTTACAAGAGTTCAAAGGTGTTAAACAGGAAGTCCATACTTTGCTGAGAATGATTTCTGGCGCCAGGTACTCTGGTGTCCCACACAATGTCCAGGTCCTGCCTTTTACCCGCTTGGCAAATCCAAAGTCTGTCACCTAAAGGTCAGGAGCATATTATACCATACATGGGAAAACTTGTAAGACAGAGCAAGCATTACGTATTCATTTGTTGCGTTCCAGCTCACCTGAATGTAGCCGTGGTGGTCAATGAGAAGGTTCTCAGGTTTCAGATCTCTGTATATGAGATCTAGTGAATGGAGGTACTCAAATGTCAGCACTATCTGGGCGGCGTAAAAGCGTGCATGTGGTTCACTGTAGAGGAGGAAATAAGTGGGTTCACAGCTCAAACCTGAAAGCAATCTCAAGAACTAATCAATGTCCGTTATGTAACACACAGCAGAAATGAGATTCAGTGGAAAACTCACCTGAACCTTCCAATTCGTCTTAGGTGTGAGAACATCTCTCCTCCTGGAACATACTCCATCACCATGTACAAATTTGAATTGTCCTAAGTAAAGTAAAGAGACACTTATGCCATGCTCAGAACAGATTGAAGAAATTTCAGTTACTACATTAAAAAAAAAAAAAAAAGAAGCACACTTTACCTTAAAAGCATATTCAAGTTTGACGAGAAAGGGGAAGCTCACAGCCTGTAATATCCTCTTCTCATTTAATGTGTGTTCTATTTGCTTGAGTTTCACCACCTGATTAAAAAAAGAGATAAGATGACCTTGTCATCCAAATCTGACTTCCACCAGTAACAGAGATAACAGACACTAAAAGGAAAGGTAGCTTTTAGTTATTTATTTTTCTTGTGTCTCCTTGTAACACGATGTAATGCTACAAGAATAGGTTTTAATACCATTTATTAGGGAGATAAGAAGGTACTGCACATTTACAGCACATGTCTACAGGGTTATTTATTTGGAAATGTCCCATGAGGCTTGATATATGCCTCCACTGACCTTCTGCTTGTCCAGTATTTTCATGGCAAAGTATTGCTCTGTTCCTTTGTGTTTCACCAGCATGACTCTTCCAAATGAGCCGGTACCCAGGGTCTTTAATCTTTCAAAGTCATCTAGGCACGTCGTGCTCTGTGAAAATAACAACGCGTTAGCCCGTTCTGTGGACGCAGCCACCACAAAAATATGGAGTTCAACTTCTCATCATTATTACCTGTGGTGGGCATTCCCATTTCCGTAAGAAATCTTCTTTGGCTTTGGCTAGAAACTCTTTCACTAAAAAAATAAAAAGAGGAAAGACAAATCCAGTTAGCATACAGCTCATTAACTTGAATTTGTAGCATAAATGCACATTTGGGTTTTAGATGAAAACTAACAAAAAAGACCAAATGCTATCATATTAGAGAGGGAAAGGAACAAATGCGGGGATGTGAATTAATTTGTAAATCAATGGAGAAGAATATGGGAAAAGTCAACTCTCATCTGGATATAAATTAAATGGGATACTAAAATATCACATTCTTTGCTCTAAAGATAAGACAATACACAAACGCAAGACCACAACATCCAAGACAGGCAGACTAGTGATGCATGCCAAGACGCTCAGTATATTTGTTTCTGTTAGTTTTTTAGTAGCCTTTTTCAAAAGGAAGGGGGGAACACAACATTCAAAATTACAGGAAAGGTTTCTCTGAGCAGCTTGTGCATCACTTAATACAGTTTGGGGAAAGGCTAGAAACAGTATAAAAATGGTAAGCAAAGACAAACCAATGTATGGGAAATCCAGATTGAGAGAATGTGGATAACAAAAACACTGACTTATTATCAAAGCACACAGTAAAAGCAAGCACATCTAGCAAGTTGTCACAAAGAGACCAACGCCGTTCTGCCATTCTGGCACATCTTTTGGAGGAATGAGCATACCAAAAGTCTCTATTGATCACCAAGGTTTTGCAGGAACAATCACCCACACGGATGGTGATGATACGGAAGAGAAGACAGAGAGAAATATAGAGTTCATGTACATAACAACAAGTATAACACATCAACAAACATGAAGCATATGCAGTGAACAAAAGAAAAAGGAATGAAAAACAGAGTTGACATTCACCTGTGGAATTTAAATGGACTGACTGACTGCTGTGGTATTCAAAGAACAGGTGTACCAAAAATGCCATGAAGCAGAAATTGAGTCGTGCATATTAGGTCAGACTGACAAGATAACACTCCACACTAGTGAACGAATCACTGAAAACCTTCCGTATGCTGCAAAGATTTAGACTTTTGTGAAATTTGTGAGTGTTTTGGTCTGAAACTTTCTCTCCCTACAACAGTTTTGATATTATGACAAGTGCTTTGAGAAAAATAGAGCTGAAACAAGTAGTCGACAGAAAAAGAATCTGCAACAATTTTGATTTGATTAATTGTAAGTTGGTAATTTAAACATTTCCTACTTTCAGCTTCTCAACTGTGAGGATTTTCTGCTTTTCTTTGTCTTAAGTAGGACTGCAACTAAAAAGTGTTTTCATTCCTGATTAACCTGCCATTTATTTTATAAATGAATCGTCTGGTCAATAAAACTCAGAAAATAGTTAAAATGGCCATCACAATTTTCCAGAGCCCAAGATGATGATGTATAACCAACCAAAGATATTCAACTTATAATGATGGAAATCAACGAAAAGCAGCAAACATTCACCTATGGGATGCTGGAACCATCAAATGTTTAGCATTTCTGCATGATTAAACAATTGATTTTTTTTATACAACAGTTGTTGATTAATATTCTTATAAATGACTCGTAGATTAATTCACAAATGTTACAAAAACACAGTAGTGCTAGTCTGACAACGATTAATAAAGAAAATACCCTGCAGATGAATTCAGTTTAGTTGCAGCCCTAGAACATCATAACATCCACTGTGACTAAATATCTCCCTTCCACTCGCAGACATTTTAAACCGTTTAATAATATGAGGTGTTTTTGTACGCACAAACGTCTCTCTGACATTTTGTACCTGGAGGGCCAAATGAAATGGTCCGAAGCCAGCACAGTTGGCCATTCTTTCCTGGCAGCAATGCCAAAATCCAGACAAGCATAATAATGGTTCAATTATGTCCTGTTACACTACAGTGTGAAACACAGTACATGGGCACAGTGAAATTAAATAGGTGTCATGGCAGCTGTTTTATCTGCCTGTGTAAGTGTGACTGTGTTGGTGTTGTTCCAACTGTTCCAGCAATATACAGTAAACACAGGTACTCTAGTGTATATACAGCACTGCAGGTAACCAGGTCGTCTCGTCAGAGCGGCTATACTCCGGGCAAATCTGCAGCTCAGGGCACAGTGTAAGCTTAAACAGGTTTAACAGATAGCCACGGCACAGGAAGTAGGGATCATAGTTACACTCAAAAGAAATGCTTGGCATGGTTGGTATGTAACTATTGCTGATCTGATCATCTCTATCTGCCACTGGTTGGCACTGTCCGACTGTTGCCTGCCTGGTCTCTCTCAACAGGTCAATAAATCTCAGAGGAACGTATTCACTGCATCATAAAGTGAAGCTACTTTAAACAAACGTAGTGCTCAACTGAACACAGATGGTTCTCTGCATGTTTTTAAGATTATAAAAATGCATGAATAGCGGTTGACAATTTCAGTTCCGAGGTGGGTGATTTTAGACCACCGAATGCAAGCAATTCTGCAAAAAAACAAAACAATAAACACCTGCAGCTCTTACGTTTACAACCAAGCATAGGGAAACATTTATGATTTATAACACAGGATTCTCAATGATGGCAAGCTGCATACATCAAAGTATAGGAGCGCAAACTAACACTAGCCTGGGCCTAGTTACGTCAAACCTTTCAAAGCTTGTAATACCCCTTATCCTCTGACGAAGGTCTGATGACAAGCTGCTCCAGTCAATGACAAGCTGAGTGTGAGAAGGGATCCTTGATGGACCATTACCACAGCAAGATTTTAAAAAAAGGGTCTCTAAATAAACACAAGGGACACAATTCAAGTGTGTTTATGTGTATGTGTGCGCGCGCGGGTATGCCGGGAAGACAGTAGTAGGTCCCAGTTTTATGAATGGAAAGAGAGCATTTGTCATATCTTCACCATATTTGGTCACTGCTGTACAGATGGAAAGCTTTGTTTATGTAGCCAAGAATAAAAATGTGGCAGTGAAGCCCGGGGCAGAAACAATCCCACATCGCCTTCAAGTAAAATGTATTGGCTATTTATAACAATTTACTTATGGGTCTGTGGTTTATTGCTGCAGATTTAAGATCACCAGTGCAAAGTTTTCTGTCTGATAATACAGCTAGCTGTGCGCAGTGAGTCTGCAGCTAAACAGACTGTAAGAAGAACCACACATCCTGAATGTTATTCGCTCCAAGTTAAGGATGACACCACAGACGAGATGATGCTAGCCCTAAGATTTTTAGCCATTTTCTAAGGCTTTAGATGGGAAGCGGCTACGCGTCACGGCTAGCTGTGTTATATGTACAGGCCTGAACAGCTACCACCATCAAGAGGGAATGAAATGACAGGGGCCTTTTGAGGGCTAATCCCCCCCTCATAGCTAAAGTTAGCAGACTAGCAGACCATCAAGCTTCATCTTTCTTGTAACGTTACCCCAGTTGGCTTGCAAAACAGCCTTTCAATGTGTGACATTGATATGTGGGGATTTATCGATAAGCATTGCTTTCGCAGGTCTCCAAGGCTTTAACAGAGTTAACACTGTCAGTGCGACCCTTCCCCGCCCCCCCCAACCCCCCTTGCAGCCAAGAAAACCACAACATCCACGGGGTCTTCTTGCTACTAGCTAACTTAGCCTTTCCCTAATTTTTACGTGCAAAACACACAAAAACAATCCCCCGCATAGTCATTTATCGTCAACTAAAAGGCGAGTGTTTGCAGCGCTGGTGGGATAACTGTGCGGGGGGATGACGGCCCTCCCCTGCTTTACTGTAGCTGCCAGTTCGGACAGTTTTAAGTGTTATAACAGGCTAGCTATCTACGTCGAGGAGGCTTTGAAAGTGTCAAACGCATAAATACAACATAAAACCCCAAACAACAACCCGGACTCACCGCTCTCTAGCTCGTTGCCCTTCTTGGCGGTGGCAGCGTTCCCCATGGCGTGGAAGACACGGCGGTCGCTCCGACTGAGAAGAGATGGCGGTGGCTAGCTAACCTTCCTACGAATATCTCCGAGCTCCTTAAAATAGGTAAACCCAAATGGATGCAAATTTTTAGTCGCTTCAAACGTGAGGGGATGAACTCCAGTATCCCTTCCAGCGGGGCCCCCTCACTCTCCCTCTGTCGTCCCCTCTCCTTCTTCCCTGTGAAAGATTTCCGCTCTTGCTGCTAGTTCAGTCTGTGTGGTTGACATGAAGCTAGCGGTCACTTCTGTTTCGGACTAGTCTGCTCCCCCCCCAACCCTCAACGCTCAGCTCAGCTGCATTCACGGCATGGTTGGGGTTTGGATTGGCCAGACATGTCTGTGTGAAGAAACCAAACTTGCTTTCACGTTTAAGGGGTATTCACGATTGCATTCACAGAGATGATACTTAAGCGCTCGTTTGTCTGACTTTACTACAGGCTAAATATAACTATTAGGCAGGCAGAAATGCGGTTTTCTTTCTTACTAATCCAGGTGTTAATGGAAACAGCTGCACCTTCAGGAGTGTCTATATGGAGCAAAGACTAATATACTGTTGTCATTGTGAGCTAACATTTTATAATCATTAGCTGCACATATGCTTCGATTATGAATTGCTGGTTTATGTGTTTAAATGTGGCCAGCAAGTCAGACAGTAGGTATAGTAACGTTAGTAGTTAAAGGTATAAGTAAAAAAAAAAGAATAGACAGCATTAAAATAGAACTAATTTAACAAATATAACTTCAAATAAATAAATAATACCAGGACAAAATGAAATATTGGGCGGAAACAGTAGTGGAAGAAGTCAAATCAGTTTTATTTAAAATTACAAATCACAAGTCCTTAGATTACCTAATTAATACGATGTCAAAGTACTCAATTACAAGTAAAAGTCCTGCAGTGAAGTAGAAATACCTCAACTGCACTTGAGTAAACATGAGCAGTTACTTTTCTACCACTCCAGCTGCAATTTTAAAAGTGTTTATGGCTCAAATATTAAAATACTGTTGCCAGATTGCGTTTTTAAGCTTTCCCACTTTTAATCTTTTTTATTATTTACATATATGATCACACACACCATTTGAAGTGTATGTATGACACGCATGAAGGACTTAACCGAGAAACAGACGACATTTAGACAGAGAACTTGATAAAAGAATATATTTTAAACAATTCAAAGAAAAAACATAGTCCAGAATAAGTTGAGAATGAAGTAGATTAATTGTATGATAGCCCACAATCACAAATCACCAAATAGCTTCAAAAGACAACAAAGAAATAGCCTACTCATATCTTTTAAATAAAAGTAATGTATTATGACTTAAATTATATGTATTATTACTGCATTAATGTTACATACTTAGTAAGTAAGTAAAATACAGTATTGTTATCAGCAAAAATAGGCCTACATAAACTAAGTACTTATTATGCAGCTGAATGGCTTCTGTCAGTGTTTTGTTATGGTAGATTATATCATTTGATTGTTTTTACTGATGTATTAATGTGTTAGCAGCATTCAGGCTGTTAAAAAAACTGGTAGTTAATACATGTGAAATACTTTCTTAATATATAAAATAAAATCTGGAAGTTGTTCAACTGCCATATATTAAGTTATTATTTCCGAGGCAAAATGCAACAATCTGACACAAATGTTTCCAGTTGAGGGAATTATGAAATGTGTGCTTTGTTGGACTCTTGTCTATTCACAGGCACAGTCTTGATCTCCTCCTCCAGCTACCATTCTCCGAATTTGACCACATTCAACTCAAAATTACATAATTGCATACATTTGCAACTTGATGTAATAACTGGGTGCCTGCAGCGTTCAAAATCGCTGTAGCAACCACAATGAGGCCTACAGGTACAGCTGTGTAGTGGTGGAGAGTAAATACATCAATTTACCCAAGTAATGATGTGCAATTTTGAGGTGCTGGTTCTTAAGTTTAATATTTTCATTTTATGCTACTTCTTCTGTCTGTGTTATGACAGCAGGATTATAGCTATGCTGCAAGCTAAACACACTTCCAATAAAGGTTGAAGGCAGCAGTTGGCCTATTAAGTCTTTACTGAAAGCAACTGTGAAACTATTGGATACAACACAACTAATTAAATTATACTTATTACAAATCATGAAAAGATGAGATGCAATAAACAAGTTAGACAAGCAAACTGGATTCACAAAAGTATACTGTTAATTCCTAGTTAGTTTACAATATATTGTCCCTCATGCCAGGATAAAATCAAGTGGTTTATCAAGTAAAAAGTCCTCATAAGAAGTGCAACACTAATTAATCTAGTAAACATGCAGTAGAGTCCACAAAAGTAAAATAGCCTACATAACATCATCATGCCCAGCAATAAATGAACAGTTACTTAGAATGTTGAAGCTATTAGCAGTAATGGAAGAAGTAGTCATATCTTTTGTAATACCACTCTGTAAAAATACTCTTTTACAAGTAAGTAGTAAAACTACAACAGTATTAACATCAGAATGTACTTAAAATATTAAAGTGAAATTATGTGTTAGGGAGAATGGAGATTGGAATGAATTAAGGAAATTCATTCAGGCCCTAGTGGTAATATTAAATATATCATATTATTATTGGTGATAAAATAAAATTGGACATACTGCTTCAACATGTAAGCAGCATTTTAATGTTACAGCTGGTGGGTGTAGAACACATTTTACATACTTTATATACTGTTGGATAGTTTCATATTTTATAAATTGATCATATATTTTGTTTGTAAAATCTTAATCTGTAGTTACTCCAGCTGTCAGATAAATGTAATGGAGTAAAAAGTACAATATTTCCTTCTGAAATGTTGTTGAAGTATAGAGGAGCATAAAATTGAAAGACTGAAGTAAAATAAAAGTCAAAGTTGTACTAAATTACAGTAGGCTACTTGAGTAAATGGTTAGTTTCCACCACTGGCTATTAGCAACACATTCGCCTCACACAGGCTAATGGCTAGCTTGGTTAGCAGTCATGTAATAAACCTAAATTAATATATCAAATAATAACAAACCACTATGATAAAAAGAGTACCTATGGATTATTCTCCAACAAGGGCATCTTGAGAGTAGATGCCTGTCAATATTTGCTTGATCTCAGATCTGACAGGCTGCATAACAATGCCAGTTAAACTGGAACTGTGGGATGCTACTAGCAACATAATCTGCAACTGTAACCTATGGCTGAAGAGTGAAAAACTGCACATTTATTTTGAGAGCTGTCTGTTTTTTTCCGTTTAAAATCCTTTCAGAAGTTTAGTTACAGGTTACCTTTCCAATTCAGGTTGTTCATACAAAACATCTTCCTTAAACTACCCCACACTATGCAAAATAGTTCTTATAACCCTTTTTTGTTATGTAATAGGTAACAGGTGGTGGTGGAAAGTAATGAAATAAATGTTCTCAAGTGTTGTACTTAATGAAAAAATTATTGTTTACTTTTCTCTTGTATATTACCATGTATGTGTATTTTCTTTTTTTATTTTATTTCCTTGTAAAGCAATTCGTAATCTCAGGTTTTGATAAATGTTTATACATAAAGGTTATTCTTATTCTTATTATAATATATAGCTCCAGCTAAATTAAAATGTCGTTTATTGCATAAGTAATAATAATGTAACTGTTTGAAGGGGGTCATTCTGTCTAGTGAGTACTTTTAATGTTATGCTTTAAGTACATTCTGGGCGGCGCGGTGGTGCAGTGGTTAGCACTGTCGCCTCACAGCAAGAAGGTTGTGGGTTAAAACCCCGGTTGCCCCGGCCATTCTGTGTTTGCATGTTCTCCCCATGTCCATGTGGGTTCTCTCCGGGTGCTCCAGCTTCCTCCCACCATCCAAAGACATGCATGCTAGGTTAATTGCTGTCTCTAAAATTGTCCTTAGGTGTGAATGTGAGTGTGACTGGTTGTTTTTCTATGTGTGGCCCTGCAATGGACTGGCGACCTGTCCAGGGTGTACCCCGCCTTTCGCCTGATGTCAGCTGGGATTGGCTCCAGCCCCCCGCGACCCTGTACGCAGGATAAGCGGTTGACGATGGATGGATGAAAGTACATTCTGATCATAATATTCATGTCACACTGTCACATAAGTATATTTTTGAATTCAGGCCTTTAAATAGAGGATTTTTACATTGTGGTCCTGTATTTTTACTTCATTTAGTAAAGAATCTGAATACTTCTATTGACCATTGCAGTTTTGCTTGCTAACTGACTGTTTCGGGCGGTCAGATGTCCCATCATCCCAAAAAATTTAGAAATGGTTGGATAACCAGGGATAACCCTAAGCGTTCACAGGGTAATGTAGCATGTGGATTACTATAGCTGCAGTGGTAGCTCACTGCTCAGCCCTATGCAGGTCCATGGGTCTAATTATCATCACCATGTGGGATGGGAGGATCCCTCCTTCACTGACTCACTCAGCCAGCTGTCGTATTTTGATAAGGTGTCTGATGAATGTTTCCTGTTTCCTCTGTTGGTCTGTCATTACAGTGTTCCTCAGTAAGACTTATTCAGAGATGCTCCCCATGAAACATGCTACTAGGGTCCATCACAAAAACACTAAAACTAAGAATTTGTTTTTATTGATTAATCTGCCAATTATTTTCTTAATTAATCAATTAATCTTTGGTTTCTAAAATGTCAGACAGAAGTGTAAAAAGCCCATCACAAGATCCCAAAGTCCAGGGTGACACCCTCTGTTGTCTTGTTTTGTCTGACCAACAAGCAAAAACCTAAGAAAGATTTTAATTTTACAATGATATAAAACAGAGAAAAGCGGGCCGCCACAAACACATCAATGTATGGGAAACACTGACTAAGTGATGACGTAAACGCGCTCCGGCTCAGATCGTCAGGTGCAATGTGAGTGCAGGCCAGCGGGTAGTGGGGAGGGGGGACCATCGTGCTCGGGCACGGTACAAGGCAACCGGGGCTAGTGTTGAGTAAGGCCTTACATGATTGCATTCACAGATAAGAGATGACATTTGAGTACTCGTTTGCCTGACTTTACCAGAGGCTAATTTAAGCAGACAGGAATACAGTCTTCTTTGTTTGATTTGTAACAGTGGTGGAATGTAACTAAGTACATTTACTCAAGTTCTGTAATTAAGTACAATTGAGAGGTACTTATATTTTATTTTTACTTATTTCCTTTTCATGCAACTTTATACTTCAACTCTCTGCTACAATACATAGAGAATTTTTATACTTTTGCCTCCACTTATTTCACAGCTATAGTTACTCTTCAGATTATGATTTTACA